AAAAAAAAAAAAAAAAAAAAAAAAAAAAAAAAAAAAAAAAAAAAAAAAAAAAAAAAAAAAAAAAAAAAAAAAAAAAACGTGTGGTTTGAAAAGAGTTTAAATGATAGCAGGTATGAATACCAATAAATTTTTTTTTACCCAAATTCTATGGAAGTGATAGTGTGTCTTGTCGGTCGGGAAAAGTAGCATTGCTATAAACCAGGGGTTTCCAACTTACATGAGGCCGAGGGCCACAATTCAAAACACAAATCAAATGGTGGGCCGCAACTTTATCAACATTTCATATAGGACTCTTTTATGTTTAAAGGAACATAAAATATTACTGTCAGATTTTTATCAAGTTGTACAAAGAAAAAGTATTGAATTACAAATTAAAATAAGAAGTAGGTTTTTAAAATTATTTAATTGTTATTAATTTTTTTTAAAAATATTAAATAAATAATAAAAATTCGGGCTACAATAACTTTCATGTGCACCTATGTATTAAACAATTAATGTGCAACAGATATCTAATTGTTAAGATATAAAACTTTAAGGAGGTNTTGTTATAATTTTTTTTAAAAAATATTAAATAAATAATAAAAATTCGGGCTACAATAACTTTCATGTGCACCTATGTATTAAACAATTAATGTGCAACAGATATCTAATTGTTAAGATATAAAACTTTAAAAAGGTTGTTATTAAACTAAGTAGCACACAAAATGTTCAATGAGAAAATTGAGGTTTGTCTGCTGCAACCACCAGAGAATAGATATTTACGTTTTAAATTTACAAATGTGTGTGAAATTATTTTCGTTCAAAAAGAGTGATTTCAAAAAGTAAAATAGAAGAATTTCTTCGAGAAAATTTCTGATACGCACATCCTAAATTATATTCACAAAATACAAAAAGAGCAACAAACACGATTATTTTTGCATTTGAATAAATATTTCCTTGGATGCAGTACATGAGATATAAATTTTTTTGCACCGTTAGTATGTTAAATTTCACAGAAACGAAGAGATTAGGTTTTCATTAACGAGAAAAGTCTTTTAAACCCACATAGATTTTTTACGATAATTGTCTGCAAAAAAATGACAACTAATATATTTCAGTTCGCGGGCCACAAAAAAAGGCTTCGCGGGCCGCCAGTTGGAAACCCCTGTTATAAACAGATTTGCTAAAATTTATTTTCGATTTTAGAATTTTGGAGCACAGGAAGAATAGGAAAATCCTGGAAAATACAGTGCATTTAAAAATCATCTAAAATAACAGGGAATTTTGAGTTTTTCTTACTAACTAGGAAAATACAGGAGATTTCATTTCTTATTTTCATAGATCAGAAAATGGTAATTACTTAGAGGGGATATTTAAGGATGATATTTCAGCTATACTAAGCTATTTCATTTACTTTAGCATTATTTGTTTTAAGTATGTTAAGCTGTTCCTTATTTTTCAGCAATTAAAACTAGTATGGCTAGACTAACATAGGCCACTTAAGAGCACTGTGTTGTGTTTCCTCTCAATACATTGTGTATAATCCCAAACCAAAATTTTTGATGGTTTTCCATGGATGGACAAACATAGTCTTGATGGTAACCATCAGTAATTCCATTGTGAATCATTATATTTTTGATGGTAACCAACATAAGTAACCATCACCCTAAAGTAGGAATTCGGACTGATTTATGATGGTCAATTGTTTTGATGGTTTGTTCATGTTGAACCATTAGAAATTTCGATAATTTCAGAAGTTTCTTAGAAATGAAATGTTGGAACGATCACGAACAAACATCATCCGAATAAAGGAATTCGGATTTTGATACGCCAACATAAGAAAAAAAAATTGTTTTGGTGGTATATTTTTGAAAACCAACAAGAACTCCCATTAAATCATCATGGAAATGTATAGTTGGAACCATCACGGATCCTTATGGATTGTTGTTCCATGAGAATCAAACTTCTCTTGATGGTTAATCATCATAGTATTAAAGTAGCTTTTTCCATCACGGAATGATGCAAGTTTGTTGGTTTATCGAAAACCATGAACACGTAATGGAAAATGTTTGATGATGGTGACCATCAAATGATGTTGGACCATCATAAATCGCATGGAAACCAACATAACCATCAAGAATTCCAGATTTGAGTAATAGGGAAATGAGAAAGGGAATAATTACTCGCTTTCTTCCCACTGCTTCATCTCCTGTAGTTCATCCTGTAAATGTTCAATTCTAGTGAGAACTGACGCTATCTCATTCAGTTTTCCGTCCAGTTCCTTAGCGTATCTGGCATGCATGATTTTCATGGAAGCCTTCACGCTGTTTATTCCTCTCTTTGCCTGCAACATTCAATTCATGGTTAAAAGACGGACCTCTATGTCGCTAAATCCTGACCCAGATAGCAAAATAAGATTTTTATTTTCACTCAGAAAAAAACCTTTTAATGTAAACCTGAAAAAGTTTGTTATGCAGTTTACGTGTAAACCTTCTAACCTTAAAACGAGATCTGTGACAATATTCTACGCACATTACCCTAATCAAAAACCTCGGAAAACAACCTTAAATCAAGTTTGACTTAGGGTTTTCAAACGTTAAAAAATTCTTTCATAAAGCCAGTCTCCAGGTGTAAAATAATCTTAAATCTAGGTAAGGTTTCTTTTCGCAAAGTCTTACTACATGCTCAGCCGAAATCCACCTTGTCATGAAATGGGCAATGGGTCCTATCGCTATAGTGTGACCAGTGGCGTACGCAGAATTTTTTCAAGGGGGGTGTTCATAATTTTCTGAAGCAACTAAAAGAAATTCGAGTATGTAATAAAGCACTATTATTTCCCTAATATAGACATCTAGACAGTTTTGTCTTTTTATATAGACAACATTGTTTAGTTAAATTTTGATTTGATTTTTTAAGTTTAAGAACATAATCTAATATCTTCTCGCATGTAATATCTTCTGAAAAAAGTCCAATGTCCCATGGGTGGGAAGTAACACTTTGAGGGCCACTTTCACATTCATCAGATTTCGTTATGCTAGAAACGTTTTCTTCAACGGAAGTATCACATTTCTGTACAACAGAAAAACTTACATTGTACTCCGTTCCCCCTTTTATATAATTTTTCACCGCATCTCCAAAATTCTCGAATTGTCTCAAAGACGACAGAACGTCTAAGATTCCAGAATCAT